CTGCAAAGTTATGGCAAGATGAACAAAAGCCCCACAATCAATCCACCAAGAATTTAATGGGACATTAACTAAATTGGATTCAAAGCAAACAGTGGATAGTGAATTACTTTCTTCTTTATTTTTCTTCTCTAGTCAAGACTTGAATCGAGTGCAGTCACTTTTCTTATAACCTCGTTTCTTGCAAAAATAATACTTGACATTTTTTTGAATGACAGCCTTATGACTTTTCACATTCTGACCAGTACCATGCCTTTTGAAACTCCGATCATTATTGGGAGCATTATGATTAAGTTTTATATTATTTTCTTGATACCCACATTTGAAACTAGATTTAGGTTGAGAAACAAACAATGCAATTTCACTCCTTTCTTTTTTAAGTTTTTCTTCCTTATAATCACACTTGGAGATAAGGTCATTTATTGTTCAGAACTCATTTTGGGTATTGTAGACAATTTTGATTTGGCTAAACTCAGGAGGCAAAGAGTTAAGAGTGTGATGAACAATAAAATCATCAGGAATAACAATTTTGAAGGTTTTAAGTTTGGTTTGAACATTGACTATTCTACGGATATATTCCCTAACACTACATACATTGTCATATTTCATACTCGTTAATTTATTCATTAGGCCCTCAACTTCAATCTTATTGGATACTTTGTATCTCTCTCCTACAGTAGTAAAGAACTCATTGACATTATTGGTTTCAGGTAAGCCTCTCATAAGGTGTTCAGAGATAGACCTTTCATGGCAATTATATTCAGCCGATTAGATTTCTCCCACTTTGAATAAAATTCTTTTTTCTTTAGGGGAGCTCTTACTAATAGGTTTAGCAAGTTCATTATCTTTCAAGACAAAGTCTATATTAGCAATTCCTAGGACAAACTCAATATATTGATTCCATCTCTTATAATTAGAACCAATCAAGACTTTAATGTTGACATTATTATTATTCACAGCAAAAGAGATTATTCAAAGCAACGAGAAGATAAACAATTAGCAAAATTGAGTAATAAATAAATAAAATATGCTTTGAACACAATAAGTCATATTTTATTGATAGAGTCCAAATACTTCACTACAAACTCCCCTTTGGGCAGAGAATGCAATGTGTTATAGGTCTTCTCTTTTATGAAACTAACCAATGAGAATGCTCAAGTTTCGAAAAATTTATCCCCTTTGGGTAGATAAACCTTTTAGACTATTGTACCTCTACCACAATATTTCATGACATCTCTAAATTACAATACACAACAATCCCTTTGGGCAGGTAATTATATATTATAATTTAGAGACCATCCCGTAACAAAAACATGAGAAAAACTACAACTTTTAATGAATTTACCGCTTTGGTGGTAACCATCCATCTTAACTCGTAGAATTCTCAAACTAGGATTTTATAACAAATTGTCCATAATTAAATATCATGTGATCAATCAATATGAGGTACTAATCAATATGTATCTCTTTAGATCACTTATTATCAATCATTGCATTCGGGTCTCCATTCTATTTTTACTTTTAAAATTAAGTAATTAAATTCACATCTACCAATATTTAATAAATAATATGTAGATCATAAAAAATTTTATATATAAATCACTAGGGACAAAAATTAGAATTGTACAAACACCTTCTACAAATTATAACAATTCAATCAAAATTACATCAACATGAGAAAACAATTTGTATGGGTAAAACATATGTCTATTTGTCAATAAGATTAATAAATAATAAAGAATAAATTTAATAAGTTGAACAAATATGACAAAATCAATAAAGGTTTCAACATAAATTCTAGCCATGGTATTTGATATTGTACCAAGGCCATGTTTGATAGAACTTAAAACATAGCAATAAATAATCTATTAAAAAACACAAAAGTCAAATAATTCTTGAGTGAAATTTTGAACACTTTGTTCAAAAACAATGATAGAAAGCCATCATGCTTTCACCCTTTTCCTTTTTTTTTCTTTTTTCTTTTTTCTTGTGACATACTGGCCGCCTTTGATGCTTTCACCTTTTTCCTCTTTTTTTTTTTTTGTGACGTACATAACTGTATTTAATGATGACCGTTGACAGCCACTGTTTTGAGAAAAACAGTGCCGCCAACATCACAAAATATTAATCACAAAAACAGTAACCTTGATCCACCCAAATCATTAACGGCGATGAAAATTTGATACCGCGTTGTCACAAAAATATTTTGAGATCCCAAATTATAAAAATAAAAAACATAATTATAAAAAAAAATTGGGTTCTAAATTCATATACAATAGGCTCTGATACCACATGTAAGAAATTTTAATGATTCATATATGAAATTTTGAACTCCTAAATTCAAGATTTAGATCATATATAAGATTTAAAACATATCTGTATGAGTCATGATACTCGATCTCTGAATTTATTTCATGAAAGGACAAGGTCTTCCTCTCATTCTTCAAAGCAATAGACGGCTCTTAATAGGACAAGACAAATGTAGGGTTATAAAATGGAGAAGGAACCTAGCATACTATTTATAATAAAATCTAATGGGCTCTCCCATTATGGGCAACAATTAGATTAAGATTTACACTTAACTACCTCAACTACATCAATTAAAAGATGTACATAAGTCCATCAAAATAGATCACTTAATAATATTGGGCTCATCTCATTGGACCATAAATTTAGCCCGTTTTTCACAAACTAAAAATTAACTATCAATTAATGGAAGTCCAATATAGAAAAAATTCCAACAGTTTGACTACTCAAACTTCACAAGTTTATGTTCTGATCTAGAAATAAAAAATTACTTCTCAACATCAACTTATCCCTAGTCTAATGCCAAAGCAGAAGTAACCATACAAGCTATTACCAAGGCATTAAAAACTAGGTTGGAAGCGTCAAAGAGCCTATGGGTCAATCATTTTCTGATCGTGCTCTGGCCATACAAAACAATTGCTAGAATTGTTACGAATGAAACCCCTTTTAGGTTAGCCTTCGAAACAGTGGTAGTGGTCTTCCCTTACCTAGGACCTAGCTGTTCAATCCCGAGGAGAATGATCAAGCTCTCCTAATGAATCTCGACCTCTTAAATGACAAAAGGAATGAGACTTTACAAAGGATAGCATCTTATCAAAAGAAGATGACCCAATATTACAACCAACGGGTCAAAGGAAGAAGTTTCAAAGAAGGTGGTCTCGTCTTGAAGAAACTTCTACCTGTAAGGAAAGATCCCAAACATGGGAAGCTCAGGTCAAACTAGGAAAGGGCCTATATTGTCAATAGAATAGTTCAACCTGAAAACTACGAGCTATAGGATGAAGAGGAAAAAGAATTAGCACTCTCATGGAATGCGGGCCACCTTAAAAAGTTCTATCAATAACAACCTGGGTTATCAGGAATTTTGTGTCTTTCAAAGTCCATGGATTCTCCTCTTTATAAGTCATATCAATAAAGTATTCTCTTGAAGTCAAGAATTTCTCAAGAAGACAAACCCTTTAAAAGGGGAAGCATGACCTTTGAGCTCATTCAAAAAAAAAAAAAAAACAAAGATGAGCTCTTTAGCTCATCCTTGCTATAAGCTTCTTGGCTTATAAAGCACTTTAACTCGCGATAAGTAGTTTTTAAACTTATAAAAATTAAAACGAAGATAACCTTTTTAGCACATTCTTACAATAATCTTCTCAGCTTATAGAGTGACCCAACTCATGGTAAGTATTCTCTAACTTATAAAAATTAAAACATATATGAGCTCTTTCGTTCATTCTTATGATAAGCTTCTCAGCTTATAGAGCTACCCAACTCGTGATAAGTACTTTCTAACTTCTAAAAATTAAAACGGAGATGGGCTCTTCAACTCATTCTTGTGATAAGCTTCTCGACTTATAGAGTGATCCAGCTTGCGATAAATATTTTCAAACTTATAAGAGTTCAACGAAAAAGGAGCTCTTTGGCTTATACCCATAATGAGCTCTGTGGGTCACAAAGTGCTTTCTAGATATAATGGCACAAACATATTAGATGCAATGATAGAAAAGAAAGAGTTGTGTATTTACTAAAGTTGATATTCTATTACAAACAGATTGCAAAATTAAGGAAAGAAAAGCTACACAGGGAGGAAACCACAAAAAATAAAGGAAATAAGTTACGGCTGATCAGCACAAGCCAGCTTTCCCTCCGCTTCCACTGAGGGGTGACCTATGCACTTCCGGCCACTGTCGTTTCCCAATCAAAAATAGGAAGGAAAGAGTACAATTTGAGCTCATAAAATTTGGCTTGAGCTTGTTTTTTGAAGTTCTCAAAGCCATCAAAAAATCTATTAGCAGACTTTGTATTTAGGGCGTTGAATTTTTTCTTCTTAGCCAAAGCTCAGGTTTCCACTTATAGATCATTTGGAACTAGGTAGAAAGTTGTATCTTCAACCGAGCATTCTCCCTTAACACATGTGCCAATTGTTTTCCCTGCTGAGTCAGTTGGTCCCTCTGGGCAATTTCACAGGTCGTGGAGGAAACACCGCTCTTTGGCTCCTTATTGAAGTGAGCTCAAATTCCCTCTTGGTTAAAAACTTTATCATTTCTTGAGCTTCAGCGGCGTAGCTTCCTACACAAACACTAGGCAAATCAGTTTAAGAATAAGTGGTTAATAAGCTAGGCAGGTATAAGGAACTAAAGACTTGCTGTCATCAAGCCATGGAAAGCATTCATTGCCCTATCCCTTTAACTTATTGTAGTAGAGAGATATAGCTCAATAGGTAGAATAATACCCATGAGCTCTAGACTAGCCAGCTAAACACAGCCTAAAAGGCTGGGTTGAGAACAGGGCAAAACTGAAGTGCTCGGGGCCGAGAGTTACCTCGTCTCGCCAGGCATAATCATTGCCTTGACCCCCCCATTTTCATGCCTAGGAGGGTCATGCTCTCCACCTCGAGGGTTAGTCGGGACTACATACAACTTAGGATTTAAAGGTGTTACCTTGGGCCTTTTATCACCCCCCCCCCCACCAATTTGAGTTTCTTCTCAAGCACGACGATGACTTTCCACCATGCTTATGACCAGAGCTTGGTCACATGTCATATCTTCGGCACCTAAAAGGAAAGATTAATGGAATGTCAGAACACAATAGGAACCATAATCAAAGGGGCAACAAATTGCAAACTCACTGGGAAGTGAACTAGGCTCTAATCAAAGAACGGCAGGATCTACCACCCATATTAGATCCCAAAAAGACTTAATCCCACATGCCCTAGCACAAGGCAAACAAGGTTCACTCAAAAGCCGTCAAGGGAGGCCTCTCATTTGACACCCTAAAGACAGGAAAAAATTAGAGAAATTACAATGAGGTAAGTTTAAAAGCTGAAAAGGACCAAGAAAAAGTAGCTTAGCTCACCAAAATTCCTGGGAACTGTTGACATGAGTGGCACACGAATGTCAAAAGACACCCCATCGACAAATTCCCAAGCATGCCCTGACATGAAGAAGAACCCACATCGCCAACCCTCAAGTGGTACATGAAGGTCAAACATTAGTTCGGGGGACCCATCCTTTCTCGAAAAATAATAAAAATCAGGGAAACAAGAAGGGACCAAAAAAAAGAAGGAGAGAAACATGGGAATGGGAGGAATGGACTCTAACACAAATTGACTCCAAAAGATAAGAAAAGAAACTAGCAAGCCCCACCCATCGACTGATAGCCTGGTGGGACAAAGGTCAAAGAAATGGAGAACCAACCTAATGAAAAAAAGTAATGAAAATCTAAGGCCACCCTGGAAGGAAGACTCGAATAAGCAAACCTTTTATAAGACAAGGTTATTATATCGAGCAAACGAAGGAGGGAATTCTCAAATTTCCCAAACATCTGCCCTTGATAGCTCACTAGCCTCCGAAGCTAGGAAAAACTCAAGATCTACAATCCTGAAGGAGGCCTTTTTTACCCTTCATGAAAGCCCTAGCCTCTACCAGACGTTCTTTAATGTCCATAGTGAACTATAAAGAAGACTCACTTGACATGTTGAAACCTTTGGCAAGCACTCAAGACTTCTCTAGAAGGCCAAAAGAATTCCCAATGAATCTCAAAGAACGTAGCATAAAGCGATGGAGGGAGTCCACTAAGGGAATGTTTAAATAGTAATTTCAATTTTGGTGCTTCACATCCTAGAAATGCATTTAAGGCAGACATTAAATGAAAGTGAATAAGTAGGACACATGTCATAAGGATATTGAATCAGCGTGTGAATCAATGTGCACATTGCACATTGTGGCCTTGTGATTGCTTGGTATAAGCATAACTATCATAGTCACATCTCTTCAAATCCCTTGAAAAACATAAACGTGCACCAGAAGCCAATTTTCCAGTGTCACCTTGAGATTCTCCCACTCAGCCAAAAAGGAAAGCTCCCCAAATCATATTGAAAGGAAAACTTTTTCAATCTATGCAAGCTTCTCATTGTAGATAATGGGTGAGATCCTCAAATCATGCCTTAGATAAGCTTTCCAGCTTATAAGGCACTTCGACTCGGAGAATAGGATGAGCTCTCTAGCTCATACCTTGAATAAGTTCCTCAACTTATGTGGTTCGCCCCATCCATTTCAAAGGGAGACCGTAATGCCTTCCCTATGAAGCGATCGATTTCTTAAAATCCAGGGAGCCGCCATAACCAGAACTTAGAATATCAATCAAGGAAAGATGGGCGAACAAAGGTAGATCATCATTGCTGCAAGGCTGAAATGCCTTCTAGCAAATGAGGAGGGTTACATAGGCAATCAATTGGCACAGAAGTAGTTATATAAAAGAGAAAAGTTAGTTATGTTCCATTACAAAATGAATACAAAACAATGTCATAACAGAAGAAAGATTTAAATGGAGATCACTCTAGCTCAGCCATTAGTGCTCTGATGTGTGCTCGGTGGAATTAGCAGGAGTCTTAGGATTGCCCCTAACAGGAGACTCAGAATTCCCTTTAGCAGGGGCTTTGACAGCCTCCTTCTTTTCTTCGGGGTCGGGAAAGATAGGTACAAACAAATCAAAGTCCAAGTCGGGATATAACTTTGCAACCTACTCTTGGAGGTTTTCAAAGTCATTCAAAAAGTTGTTTGCAGCTTCTTTGGCGAGTTTTTTAATCTTCGCGTCCTGGACCTTCAGCTGGTCGGATAGCTTGAGCTGAGCCCTCAGAGCCTCTTCGTCTTGGCCTTCAGCTACTTCGCTTTTGCCTCAGCCTTCACCTCTGCAAAAAGGGCCCGACCTAAAGCCTCAGTCAACTCAAAAATCTTAGCATCTTGAGATGAGTTTCTTCTGAAGAGTTTATCGAAAAAGCTGAAGATCTTCCATCTCATGACTAAGACCTTCCAAGCTTTCCTTGTAGGTGGTTAATTCAAGGGCCTAGGCTTTGGAGCTTTTGAACAACTCTTGGTCTTCTACATCAAGAGCCTTGAGAAATGTCATAGATTGTAAAAAGAAGAGCAGGCTTTAGGAACTTCAAAAGACAGAATGGAGTATAGGAGGAGCCTAGAAGAAACCATACCGCAGCAAAGCCGTAGACGGCTTGAGAAATCTTGCCATGAAAAGGGGATCATCATTAACCCATTTTATTCATCCTTTGAAACTATGTCAAATAAAGCCTTCACAATTTCAATTGGTTGCAGAAGAAAGGGGGCCTAAGATAGGCTGAAGCATCTCTACTTTCTCCCTTCTTAGAGATTGAAGAATAGGGAACTTCAGGAATGATGGAAGAGGGGAGAATAATGTTTTATCACTAGAAGAAGGGAGGAGAGGACCGGTCAAAGTATCAATAGGCTTTTCATTCAACTCCTCTCCCTTAATGGGAACCTAACCTCTTGGTTCATTGCTAGAGCTTTCTAATGCATTGGCAAGCGAGCTTGAGGCAGAGTGGAAATGATCAAACTTCGACTTCTTAGAAGGAAGGAGATTGGCTTTCTTAACTAACTTATCCCTTTTTCTCTCCTCCATGGTCTTCTGGATTAGTTCTTTGTTGAGCCCTATCTCAACAGGGTCAGTGGAAGGAAAAGCTTGGATAAGGGGAGCAAAATTGTATTTGGCCAAGTTCTCAGCGGTGACTAGGTCTTTAAAAGATCTCAAGCCATTAGCCTCGACTTTAATAGTTCGAGCAATCTCTTCAACAGAAAGAAGAGGTCAATATCTTCCAAACATAAGCTAGGTTGGTGGAAAAATTTAGAAGAAGTAGAAAATAAAAATAAAAACAATAGCATGAGTCTCATCTAAATGAGACTTCCTAGTGTTACGGGGACACCCTAATTACGCGGGACTCGAGGGATGTCTTCAAGGTCTCCTATCAAATCGAAAGCATCCCCAGAGACAAAGAAAAAGCTTTCTTTCCAGCCTTTATGTGAAGTAGGCAGATCAGAAATCAATGTCTCGACCTTCACCTTTTTGGCAAAATATAGGAAACCCGGAGCAGGAGAAGACTTGAGGTGACACTCTAGCAGGGTAAGAGGCGATTCAAGACTGCATTCTCTTCAATAAACGAATAAGCCTACTAAAAGTCCCCAACCATTGGGGGACAAACGAGTTGGACAAATGTTGTAATGGTGTAGAATGACACGGATAAAAGGCTGAATTGGAAATCTGAGCCCAACTTAAAAAAGGTCACAAAGAAACACACCCTCCCCAAGATGGTAGAGTTACACCACTCCTCGGCCTCTGGAACGGGAAACATCACTTTTTGGGGGAACACATAGAAGTTAATGAGCTTTTGGGCCCAATTATCGATCATATGGGTAGAAGTCGCGCTGCACGTTAGATAAGATAATTCTCGTGGGATTTTTTTTCCCTCTTTGGGACCACTGTGGTGGAGTTGGCAGATAAGCTCCTCTTTTTCTTCCTTTTTCCTAAATTACTAGGAGACTCGACCTGAAGCACCTCGTCGCAACAACTTGAGATTGAGGCTTCAAATCTCAAAGTAGGGGCAGGGACGCCAAAAGATGGCTCTAGAGGGGTTATCCCTTACCAGGGCCAAGTGAAGGTCTTCTTCTTGAGCCTCCTCATCAGAAGCATGCTCTTCCTTATAAGAAGAACATGGACCCTCTTCCCAGGACCTTCCCTAGGTGTTTGGGAATTCGAGGGAGTTGATTAGGAGAAGCTATCTAAAACAATCCTCACCATGGGGACCCCACACCTATAATTACGATAATGCTCAAGTAGGCGAGATCGACAATCTGAAGTCGCCCAAAGATCGAGGCTCTCGAACCTCACCAAACATAATCTAAACAATAGGGAAAGGTTAACAAAAAGGGGATATACAGCAAAAGATCCTGGGGAGTACCTAAAATAGTAAAACCTAAATAATATGAATTGAAACCCAACAAACCACCATCATGGGTTAAATTCTATCTAGAATGAGTTAAAAAAAGGGAGAAACTTACCTAGAAATCAGTCGGGGTAGGCAAGAAGACGTTGAATGACACAACTCCAACAGCTCTTGAAGCTTTTTTTTCTCTCTCAATAGAAGGACAAAGAACATTTTGGGGATTTAATGTTTAAATATATTTTCAATTTTGGTGGTCCAAGTCCCATCGTGCACATTAAATGCACCAGAGAATCATTTAAAAGGTATTCAACGTACACCATCGATGAATGATTCATTTATGAAAATATCCTGACAACAGAGGAAGTGGAACAGTTCCCTTTTTTTCAAGCTTCACTATTCTGAAATGTCTAATCACATCATATTTCGATGGGACTTTGACATATTCTACATCATGATAGGAGCAAGCTTCACTTTGTTCCTAAGAGAAAGAAAAATGTGACATTATTTGAGCTTAGTTTGAGGGATAACTGATGATACCATATTTCAATTACATAAATAGTAACTCAAACTCGAACAACACAATTCCTGAGCGTAACAAAGGAGGTCACCAGCAAGTAGGGATGCCCGAACTCCAAGTTGCATGGGAGCTCGACACCAACTGATTCAAGGGACATATGAGCTAACTTTTCTGTTGGTAATCAAATCTAATAGTCGAAAGATGGTTAGGTGGGAGCCCGAAGACATTAACCACGTAGCTCGTAAATATTGGGCATCTAACTCCCCTTGGCCACGTGATCCATCTTTCAAAATAATGAATCTTTTAACGATCCGATTTTCTCTCAAAAATCTTAACAAATTAGGGAACTATCTTAACAAATTTAGAAACAAATAGGAGGTAATAGTTGGGAGACTATGCCACCCATGAGAATAAATACCCCCATATACTTCCTTACACAAATATGAGAGAAATTATATTTTATTTCCATGCTTAAATGATACAAAGATCCTTAAGAAATAAAAAATTTCATTAAAATGAACCAATCAAATTTCATAACTCGTGAACCATTATAAATTAAATTTCTTTGTTATTCGGTTGTCTAATTATCATATTTACGACCATCATATCTACACCATACCACGTGAAATCCAATCAAAATAGTCATCAAAGCAAGTCCAATCTCAATAGCACTGCCAAGTGGACCCTTTACGTGGACCCCAAGTTTTCCCCAATCACCCATCAGAACCGTTCAAAACCTAGCATCATACGCATCGTCCATTTCTTTTCCCGTACCTCTCTCTTGTGTCTTAGAAAGCTTCAGAAACTGTCCAATTCAACTTAATTGGACCCATCCGAAGTACACCCAGAACCTCAATTCTCTCTTTTTCTCTCTCTATATATTCTCTACTTGTATGTGTCTATGTAGCTTTGTGTTTCTGTTTACGTTATTATGTATGTGTATTAATCTGTTCAGCAGAAATACAGGGTTGATCATTGATTATCTCTGTGAAAGAAAACAAAATCTTTATTTGGATACTTTTTATGAGTTCTGGAGAAAATTGAATGAATTTTCTCGAGAAATTCACTCTGATTGTGCAAAGTTCCAATTTTTGTCCTGGCAACATACCGCTATGCTCTGTTTCTACAGCGGTATGCATATAATTGGGGAAGTCAATTTTGTATGTTTTTCTGGTGATGAATGTGCATTACTATATCTGAAAACTGAGCTATGTTTTTTTTAACAATTAGGAAATTTTGATTTTTTTGTGTTGTCGTTCTTTTCATTGACTTCCTTTCTATTTTGACTTGATTTTTTGTTTTCTCTTTCCTACTTTGGTGACAGAACTGAATCAACAAGGCTTCATTGGGTATTTTTATAGTGGAGGAAAGGGTGTGAAATGATAGGGATTGAGGGTTTGAAGAGTGAGGACTTGGACGAGTGCTTTGAGAGACAGATGGTGTTTGGTGGTGGTGGAAAGATGGGGGGTGGTGGGGTGATCACAGAGTGGAAGGACATACCCATGGAGCTATTATTGAGGATTGTTTCATTGGTTGATGATCGGACGGTGATCGTGACTTCTGGGGTTTGTAGTGGGTGGAAGGATGCTATTTGCTGGGGACTCAACTATCTCTCCCTTTGCTGGTAGCATTTTTTACCCGTGTGTATATTTGTATGTGTACATTTTATATGTTCTGCACCCTTGTTTTGGTCTGACCCTAAGTAATTGGGACGAAGACTTTGTTCAGTTGAGTTATATATTTGTTTTGGTATAGGAATGTGGTCTAGGATTTTTAATTGGGCTCAGATGTTTATATGCAAATTGTTGATTGTTTTGTATAATGTGATATTAGTTTAATGCTTGGCGTACTGGTTAATTTGATTATATTTGAGCGAGGGATTGAAAAGGCATTGTTCTTGTTGCTGGATAAGTGATGAATTCTGGTCTCTTTTGTGCTTTTTTGGGTGGTTATAATCCAACAATATCTTTTATTTATGTACTTTTTAGTTGATATCTTGGAATTGAACATATGCATTAGTTTGCAAGTGCCACTTAGGTGAACATTGATGTCTTCTTACTTACATGTCGTACTTATACATCCGTAGTTTCTGTAAAATTGTCAGTATTACTATGCATCTCGAGTATCATTTCTATTTCCATTGGTAAAACTTGTCCTTCTTTTTGGGTCATTTTATTTCCAATCATCCTTTTCTTATCTATTTACTTTTGTTAATTTTTACTTGTTTAGGTTTCAGTGAATCTAAATGGTCACTGGAATACATCAGTAAGATCCTTTACAGCCATTCAACAACATACATATAGATATATACATATACATTTTGCATCCAATGTGTTGTTGGAATTTTTTTCGTATACCAGTAATGAGTCACACCTTTTTTGATGCACCTAATGCATTTTAAAGTGTTTTAAGTTTAAAAATAAGAGTAATATAACTAATGAACTTAAATTTGAAGGTGAGTTCCAAAATGGAAGTGCCACCTCATCAAAAAATTTGGTTTCTTCAAGGTGTGGACAAGATGAATTGTAATTGCTTTTTTGCAGTGCTGTTTGTTCTTACCTTCTAATCATGTTTTCTTTCTTCATTCTGCCCCCTTTTGGGTATTTGAGGGCCGACGATGAAGCATTCCTTTAAAATGTAGGACACGGTACTTGACTGTGTTCCTCGCTTGTCCAAGTATTAACATTACTAATATGTTGCATCCATGATTTCAACAAGATTAGTAACTCATAGATATGTAATAGCTATGAGCTATCCAATGGCAATGTGGAGTCTCATTTCCTTGTCAAGATTTTACAATTTTCTGCATTTATTTACATCCACGAATGGATGTAAAGCTCTGGAGAATACCACATATACATTACTAACTTGTAATTGATTTTTTGATTCATAGGTTCCTCTTGGAACTGATCGATTTTGTATTATTTTGGACATGACCCCTAGTCTCCTATTGTAATATTTCGGCTCTGCTTTTTTGATAAATTGACATCCTCTTACTAGGCAGTTGAATGATGGCCAAATTCATTTCGTAATAGTGGTTTAAGTGGAGTCAATTCTATCCGGTTCTTTTAGGGGTCATCTGGTTGTAGTACTAAAGGGTGGATTAAGGAGTCATTACATATTAAAACTCTCTAATCCATCATCATACTATATTTTGGTGCCAAAAAACACTCCGTATTATGTATAGGCTTATTTTATATACGTATTTTATATGTACATGAATAACTCTCTCTATCCGTACTATTAAGCCAATTTTAATACCACCTGAAGAGGTGATATTATAATTCAGTTCAACTATATTAGGTTATAAATTTATTTATTTGCCCACCAAATAAACAAAAACACGGATAAGTAGATTAGATTGATGGCTTTTTTGTCAATATATAATTAGTACTACAAAATAAGTAAACTAACCAAACGTAAGCTGGGACTGCATAATTATTATCCCGCTCTTAATCCAGTGTTTTACAAATGTTGGATTATAATGGACAGTATTTTTGTCCCTCATTTAATCTTTTGTTTTATCTGTTTGTATGGAAATTAGCTTGGATTACTTGATACAATCCTTTCGTTTACAATATGGTAACCAAATGAGCCTTTATGTAAAGTGTGCATAAAACACAATTTTGTTGGCCTTATGCATGTTCCTTCCTGTTTGAGGCATTAATTGGCACATATTTTTCAGGTGCAACAAAAACATGAACAACTTGGTTGTGTCACTTGCTCCCAAATTCACCAATCTGCAGATTTTAATTCTGCGGCAAGACAAACCACAACTTGAAGATAATGGTGTTGAGACTATTTCCAACTGCTGCCATAACCTGCTAGACCTGGACCTCAGCAAGAGCTTCAAGCTTACTGATCGGTCCCTATATGCCTTAGCTCGTGGTTGTCCAAGTCTTACAAAGTTGAATATCAGCGGGTGCTCAGCCTTCAGTGATACTGCCCTAGCATACCTGTCTGGTTTTTGTAGAAAACTTAAATTCTTAAATCTTTGTGGATGTGTGAAAGCTGCATCTGACAAAGCACTGAAGGTATGAAAGAGTGTTGACTTCTTGTTCTTCACTTGATATTATGTTACAAAGTTCAATTTCAAATGTCTCTAACAACTGTATGCAGGCTATCGGCTATAACTGCCATCAGTTGCAGTCTTTGAATCTGGGATGGTGTGAAAATGTTGGTGATGCAGGGGTGACGAGTTTAGCATATGGATGCCCTGATCTAAGAGCTCTTGACTTGTGCAACTGTGTTCTTATAACAGGTAGCCCTTTTGTGTTTTTGTGATAAATTGTTTCTTTGATGACATATGCTTTTGTTTAAGTTGTACTCATAACTGGGCTTGATAGACTGTTCTTCTGCTCAAATATCGGTGCAGTTCAAACTCAATCTCAGATGTATCATATCTGAATTTTTTTACATATATGGTTCTTCCCTAATTAGAGCCAAATCTAGTGGGGTCCATATTATCAATCGTTGTGCTGCATATGCCATAATGTCTAGAAGATGATCAAACCTGAAGAACCATACAGTAATCTGTAGGTAGAGTATCATTTTAAGTTGAAAATCCCTAATGGCGAGCTTACTTGGCTTTTTTTTTTTTAACTATCCACGTGTAGCCCACGAGCTTCTTGCCTTGCTTAGTGTATCCATAATTGTTCCGTGATATTACTATGGTTATATGGTCCTCAATAGTTGGTGTGGATGTACCTATGGACTTGAATGGGGTGACAATACAAACTTTCCAGAAAATTGTGGAACTAGAACAAATGCTGTTTATCCTTTTATGTAGACTACCCTTGTTTTTCATCATCGACTGAAATCCCCAACAAACTAGAGTTTTATTGAGCTGATATGAATTTTTTATGTACTTCAGAGAAACCTGTCTACTGACCCCTACTTTTACAAAAATCATCTGAAGTACTTGCACCGATAAGGAAAAAGTTGTGCTGTTTCTGTACTTCTAGGACACTGATAAATCTGCTTGAAGATTCTAACTAATATGATTTTCCTTGGTTTGGGATTCTATTTTGTTATTTGATATTCATTGGAAAAGTGGGGAATGACTCATAGTGGTTATAGTGCTTGGTCGGATATATCCATGTGCATACTCTTGTATATGATATCATATATGCTTAATTGGTGATGGGGACCCATCCTGACATGATCGAGCTGAAACAGAAAGTGGGTCATTTGTTGCAAGGTTTTGAACTTCTGTGTTTAAATTTCTCTAGGTTCCTAGGCTTGGTTGTTCAGCTTTTTATATGTAATAGCCAATGGGCATTGATGATTTTCCTATATGATACAACCTAAGTTCCACCCATCACTTATGCTCCATAGAATGTCAACTAGTACTTTAACTTCTACTTGGTTGTTCATTGTTTCCTTGGGTATGTCCGTTTTTTGCAGACGAGAGTGTAGTTGTTTTGGCAAACAATTGCCCTCATCTCAGATCCCTTGGTCTCTACTACTGCCAGAATATCACAGACAGAGCAATGTATTCTTTGGCTCATAGTCGACTGAAGAATAAGCATGAAATGTGGGCATCTGTGAAAAGCAAGTACGAGGAGGAAGGGCTTATTAATCTGAACATCAGCCAGTGCACAGCCCTTACCCCTCCTGCTGTTCAGGCAGTATGCGATTCATTTCCTGCACTTCACACCTGCCCTGGACGACATTCCCTCATCATAAGTGGCTGTTTGAACCTAACATCTGTGCATTGTGCCTGTGCTTTTCAAACACATCGTGAAACCTTTCCACTTCCTCATCCAGCTCATTAAACAAGTGTTAAGGTGGGAACTTGAAGTTGGAGTTTATGGCCCTAAAACAAGTTCATGTACATAAGGTTGTGTTGGACTGTTATGAATTTATTTGGCTGAATGTAACAAACCTTTCCCTTGTTTTGACCTTCATATTGTGATTGTTTGTTGGATATGTTCCCGGACCTCATTTTATACTGAAACAGTGTCATTATTGATGTATTTTTAACTTATATTTGTGACAAGGGAATGCGTGGAGCAGTTTCTGGTCATTTGGGAGACTAGTTCTTTGAGTATGCTAGGACAAATATATGCTAAGTCACAGGGAGTCGGTCTTTATGAACCAGAACTAAATTGGTCTCAGCTTGTCTGCTGTGGCCTTGGGGTAGTTGAAAGCTTCAATAGTCAGGGAAAAAGAGTTGTGTATTCATTAAAAGGTCGAGGGTTGAGGGCTTGTTCCCACCTTGACTAGCATACGCCTGAGCTTATCCCTCTAGTTGGCATATCCCCTGCCCTCTCCCACCTCCTACGACGAATTCTTTGTTGGCATCCTTCTCCCTCTCTTCCTTCTCCCTGCCACAGGGGGTCTACTTCCCCTCTAGTCGGATCTCCACCCTCTTGTCACGCTTTTTTGCAGTGCATTCTTCAAGATATTGAAAAGGTATAGGTTCAAAGATCCTTTAACTGAGAATATGCTCCATGCCATTTGAAACTGTAACAAGATAATCATCAATTTGATTAGGAGTCATATAAAAAAAATTAAAACACCTTTTAATTTACTGGATCTTGTGCTTTACTTGATTGAACCGATGGTACCTTCCATCCATCCTTCAAATCGACGAACCACTCAAAAGTGAGATTAATTAATAATTGAATATTCTTCAAGATTGTAATCTAATAGAAATTTTTGCGACATGACAGAGGTGTGAGAGTAGAATTTGGGCTTCTGCTGGGATTTGAACTAAGGAGGTTACCGTGATGAAAAATATATTAATTTACACTTTAATTTCTTGGTGGTGTTATGCATTAACTTAATCTGTGACTAAGTTGAGATTTATATGTTGCAAGTTTGATAGAACTCAATTTAGTGTTTAGCAATTTGAAAGTTGTTTCCTATAAATTTTGACGCAACACCGACTTTTTTATGTCGTTTTGTTAAGTCACACAAAAGCTAGAATGAAGAAAAAAGAAATGTGATGCCCACCATATTGTCATTTACATCTTTTGTTCTTCCATTTTGGGTGGAGTACCAAAAGATGCATTAGCTCTTTTATATATCTGAACACTGTATGCTCCATTTTTCCTTTTTTTTCATTTGCCAAAACTACCAAAAATTTGGACAACTATTGGCAATGTTAACTTAGGTTTTTTGGCATAGAATGCCATCTCTTCTATAGTCATCTTTATGCTTTGCCTGATTGAAATTTGAAGCATTTCTTGATGTGTACTTAAAAGCGTTTTGTCATTCAAACAATATCGTTGCAAAGGAAGGTTTCCAGCATTTATACATAAACAAGCTTGTGCCTTTCTGTATTCTTACAACAGGATCTTTGGTTTTGAGCAAAATGCCTTTTGTTACATTCAATCTCAAAAAAAGCTCAAAGCTAATAAGCCAAATGTCTATCCTTGCTATATGTTTCCCACGTTTCATTTGCTTCTATACACAATCTCTTCATCATCGACTTCAGGATTACAGAGACACCTGAAGAGTCTACCAATGCCCTGCAATGGGAGAAAAATAACAATCATCATGATGCACACACTCTGTTGACATGAAATTACAGGGCTGATAACAAAGTCGTCAAATGTGATTCATGCTGTTCCTACATCCTGAAGTGTCAACGCTCCTGAAAATCCAATAATTCTAGGCATATATTCCCTATTTGCTTCTCACACTACACATTAAGATGAATTTGATTATATTCTTTCTAAACTATAGCTTTGAGGTATCAGTGTATTACTAAAAGGAAGATCATAGTTATTTATAATTTACTATACTCATATTGTAGAGATAAACTCAAATAACAAGTTTTTTTTTAATGCAAGGATTAGAGGTATTGAGAAGTACAGATGTACATGCATATATAAACAATAAATGCATAGTCCACATCAAACATTAGTTTTCGAGAATCATCAAGATACCTGTGTAAGTAGAGGAGTTCGATAGTTGAGTGTTCTAGGCAAATCCTCTTCATCGCTGCTATCAGAACTGTTGCCATCTTCATTCATATCCGAAGCAATTTTCTTCTTTGATGTTCCACCACTTCGTTGATACTTTTCCCTCTGAAAAGAATGTTCCATCAGATCACTAATTGTAAAATAATACAAGAAATGTTTTCGTTTCATCACTAAATGCACGTTCCTTTGACAGTTCCACTATTTCCCCCCTTTGATGAACCACATTTTTTTTGTTTTGAATCAGATCACATTATTTGGAAGTATTGCATTTGGTGACTTTCACAATATCCCAATTTGTATCAGATCAACTGTTTATTCCACGAAAATATAGGAAAGCAGACATATTCACTAATTTATAACATGGGACTGGCTGCTATGAACAGAAATATTAAATTCTTCGTGCCAAGTATAATTGACTGTTAAATACATAATATAATGCAACATTTTTCAACCAAAGGATTATATATATCAGAATGTTGACTATGACCGAAACGATTCTTCAACAAATTGTAATACATATCCCACCTGAAATACTTTTCCTAGGATTTTCAGAGCTACAGCGCGTGCTTTGAGTTCTTCCTTCTTAACATTGTTTTCTTGTAGCACCTGCAAACAGGTAAAACTTCATTAGTTGATCTTACTGTAAACCACTCACCAAATTTTCCCTGTTATAGTTATGAAAATGGTGTAACTTAATTCTATTATGGTAAGTGTCAAGGAAATGGAAAGAGAAAACCTGCTTCATGAACAGTGATTAACTGGCAGGGAGATAAAGAATAACTCACCATTTGACACACATGTAGAAGGGTTGCTTCAATGTCCACTACATTCAATTTCCATAATGAGTTCATCAGTGTATCCTTGTTTAACCTTAGATGTGATTCGAGATCGTTTTCAGGACCACTACCATCCATTTTAAATTGACGGCGGACATCTTCTTGAAGTTGCAGCAACTGAAAAGCCCCTGGAAATTTTTTTTTTCAAAAGAAGAGTTAATCGAAGCATCATAAATACCAAGCAGGAGATAGATGTTTGAGGGTGGATTGTCTTCTTGATATAACAACATACCTTTTGCTGCAGTAACTTGTGATTTCCATATATGTCCTTTATTGCGCACCCATTCAGCCAAAAATGGCACCCCTAGATAAATGGCTTTTTTGCCAAGCTCTTGTGCTGCTTGTCTCGCGTATATGTAGCCGATGGTATGTAAAATATCAGCCCCAAAAGCTGTAATTTCCACAGTAAGAATGAGTCTAATGAAGTCATATCTTTATTTTTTTTCAGTAATGAAGTCATATCTTGCACTCCATCTGTGAAGGCATTTGATGAACTCATATCCAGTACATGGATATGAATTACCGGTTTTGACAAGAATATGCTGTCTTGCATAATAAGCATGATGCAGTGATCATGTTCTGCAACCATAAAATTTTCCAGAGCTAGCAAGCTTATTCGTCGCAATAACCAAAGAAATATGCATCATTACAACAATTTGTTCAAAGCATAACTTCAAAATTGAGGAGTATGTGAGTTAATGTGGAATTGGAAAGCTTGTTAGCAATAACAAACCACCATTGAAAATAATATCAGAATTGGAATTGTATATTGAGTTCTTGCTCAACTTTAAAGAACTATCAATCACTAAAACTTTTACATCAATTTACAATGAGTCAGAAGAAAAAGAAAAAAAAATTAGCAGTTGCTTGCTTGGTTAACCTGCATGTGAAAGCCGTGCTGCTTCAGATTCAGCGTGATCTATGAATCCTTCTTTGTCACCTCGAATGTATTGGTGAAGAAAAACTTTCAGTGTTCTAGCAAGCTTTTCTTCTCTTTCTTTCTGGACAGCCTTCATTACATTGTTTTACAATAAAATAAATTGGATGGTTTTATAAAGAGGATGACACAACAAATAAATAATTTCACGAACAAACTTGAAGCTACAAGTTGATCTTAGTTTGAAGGACTATTGTCAATTCTTTGCCTATTTCTAAGGAAAACAGGTACAGAATATCATGAACTTTTGAAGGTACTTACCTTCAACCTCTCATGTAACTTATCAGGGTTGTCACTTTCTATTTCACAAGAAGCCATTGATGCCATAGATAGATGTCCTATGTAGTCTTCAAAAAGTTCACTTCCAAAAAGAAGCGCAAAGACCGCAGTGGGGTCAAGCATCGTTTCCCTGAGATAGGAAGATGTAAATAGAGGGGAAATGGGGCGCCGAAATGAGATATAAGATATAGAGGAAAACACCATTCAGGAAAAACTAGCTGAACAAGAAAGAAGTCATTTAAAGATTGGCAAATAAACGTACTCTTTAAGTTCCTGAGTTCAAAGCATATTTGCAGTTGTATACAGACTACCATAGCACCGGGGTATATTTTTGCAAATTATTGAAATTGTAGTTTTTGCAATATTTATGCTGATCTTTGTGTGAAAATTCGGAAAATAAATTCCTCTTATTTCTTGTATTATTCTGTCATCATCTCTGTTGATTGAGAATAATAGAATCCTGCATATGATCGCTAGATTATAATGTGTTCATTTTCAGGACTTCATGTAGATAGACTGACAAAGGCCCTATATCAATTTTGAGAAAGCAACGAGTTTTCAGTATTTATTATTAAGACTTTTAACCAATTCAGATGAAAAATATGAGTTTATATCTGTCATATGGTTCAGTCCCACAAAACTACAACACTAGAACTAAATGCCTCGTCTATTAAAAGGCTAGAGATTCCAAGAAGCTAGCACTATAACTGGACACAACTAGTAGAGATTCTTGACTAAGAACTTTCTGGTTTAGCAAATGTAGAATTAAATGTTTAAAAGGTGGCATTGCTTCCTAACTAGCTTCCTTCCTCATTTGAGGTTATTAAGGATAATATGGATATTTTTGGCTCATATATCACTTCCAATGAAATGCCCCTGACTACTTTCTTTCACTGTTTCACAAGTACTCGTTCTGTTTTTCTTTCTCCCCATAGCTAGTTTACAATTAGTCCCCTTGTATAAAAGCTTCTGGGTGTATCATCTACAGCTAAAAGTAAGATCTATAGAAAGTAAATTTACATTCAGAAGAAAAGGAGCTGGACTCAAACTTTCGAATGAAACTCCCCCACTTTACTTACAGCATATCCAATTACAGTCTCAGACTACATTCTCAACCACTTCCAACTTAATCAATTGAGAAAGAACATGTAAGTAAATTTGAAAAGCTTACCTGGATATGCAATACTTCCCATTTCGATCATATTCATCTCTTTGTACTGGATCACTCAAAACCTGATAAGCTTCCCCTAATACCTGCTGACATTAAGAGTTTACTCAGTCGTGAAGCAGAAAGCTATAAATTGGAGGTCTGATGGATGATTAAAGATTGTTTATATATAGAAACTAGACGAGAAAAAATCACAGAACAGTGAAAAAGTAAGAGCATCCTCATTGTTTGGAATTCTCTATGTGAAGAACACAACACTTGAGAAAATTAATATTTGAGGGATTGGAATAATGTTGTAGCTAAAGTTAGAAAAATGAAAAAGATACAGTGGACATGCCTGAAATCTTTCAGCAGCCTGAGGATCATTCGGATTTTTATCAGGGTGAACTTGCCTTGCCTGTGGAAATAATAACAAAATAGTTTCCATTACATCAGTGCTTCAGTAGCACTTGCTGTCGGGCACAGATCCTTATAACTAGTAAACAATGATCAGAGTTTATCCGACACGAAGTCAATTTGGTCCTGGAATAAAACTAATAAGGAATCAAGAACTAGTGATGCCTGATTAAATCCAGAGTATCCTGTTCCTCAGTACTTATGAATCATAACAACCTCAATCAGATAGTACAAAGACTTATGAATCATACAGCTCCTAAATAAGAGTCTTAACCAATCATTTTGAAAAAAGACATTGTATTGGTTATTAAGCTTTCAGTGACCGATGTAATTTTACAGTCAATTATGATACCTAAATTCTTCTTTGACCCAACAAAATTACCTTCCCCATGACTCACTAGAGTCTTTCCCAGTAATAGCACACTGAAAACTTAATCGAGTCACTTTCAAAAGAATCAAAACCACTCCAATTATATATAGAAATTTTTACCCCATTCATGATTTTCGGGTTTTGGTGTGTGATTTCTTAGATAATAATCCAACACAATGAATTCAGTCTAAACCAAGGATAGTTTTTGTTTATATATGCATGGTAGTTTCAAATCGTAGACATATAACATATACAGAATCCCAGAAAAAGTAGTGGGAGTGTGAAAAGGTCAAGAGAGAAATTCTTGCATAAATTAAAAATAATTATACTGTTACATTCATCTATCCACCATCAAACAGGTTACCATATATACAACTCAAATAATAACAAAAAACAATGAACTAAGATTTCCTGAAGTTGTAAGATCAAACTCCTCACCTTAAGATAGTAAGCCTTTCGAATCTCTTCCTCAGAAGCAGAGGGACTAACACCCAAAATATCATAAAACTCGGTCTCTTTCACCATTATTCAGACCCCAGAAAGCACTGAATTCTCTGACTGAGTTGACAATGAATTCCAAAATATTCTGGAGAGAGAAGGGGAAGAAGAAAGAAGAAAAAAAAAGGTAGGGGTGGTGGAAAGAGATGGTGGGCATGTTGAGAGCGCCCCCCCCCCCCCCATGAGCCTAACTTACCTTTCAGTTCTAAACACCTAATAAACAAATGCTTTATCAAAGCTTTTTCGCGGGACAGAAACAGTATTATAACCGCCACTTTGTGGTGCTGAATAGTAAATGTGAACCACCTTTTGAAATGCCTTTTTGGAGGTGTTGGGTGGGCTCTATTATTGGGTTTTATTTGGAGCCCACTTGTTCTTAATGGGCTTTTAGGTTAACCCACCTGAAAAATAATGCTACACTGACTAAAAAATAGGATAAAAAAATCGAGTCCAAATAATGTGGCAGCTATCATTATAAGTAAATCTTGTATTTTAAATGAATAAAAGTGGGACCAAACACATTATTATTCCAGTGCCATGTCATTTGGTTTTTATTTTCTATTTTTCGATTGGTCTAGCACTGTACTTCTTTTAATGACCTTTGATTTATTTTACAAAATGATTAATTGTTGTGCTAATCATAGTTATTTTAGACATTAAGGATAGTTTTGGATAGAGATAATATCAGTGTTATCAAAACCGAAATAGATCGGCCGATCTGACCGGTTCAAACCCGAGACATTAACCAGTCCAATTCTCTAATTAGACCACATAAGGAAGCGAACTTTCAAGAAATTTCTAAACCAGCCGAATTTTGGCCAAACCGTGAATCGGATGGTTGGAAGTCCCTTCTAATATAAAATAAAAACTGAAAAAATCCTTTTTTTTGGGCCATTTTGATTTTGCCTTAAAACGCAAAAGAATTACTCTGTGTCTGAGACTAATACACTCTCTTAAGGTTGAGACTTCGACTTTGGCGAACTCAGTGACCACTCAGGCGATTTCTCCGGTGACAAACAGTAGCTAAGGGAGGCATTGTAACTCAGTCAGTCGATCTCTCGCTCAGGCGATCACTTAGGCAATTTCTGCGACGATGAAAAGAAGCCCATATATGCTCGATCTCTCTCACTCAGTCAATCTCTGTAACACAGTGACGAGCCTTAAGATGTTGATCGTCCATGAACTTAACTGGAGCTTCATTAGTTGTAGTTTTGGGGGTTCTGTGCTCTGTGTGCAAGGGTTTGAGAGAGGGATGGAAATGTTGGGTTAGAAAGAGAGAGAGAAAGTTGTGTGAGTTTTGAGAAAAAAAAATTTCCGATTTGATAATTTTAAGGAAGATGTGTTTGGTGAATTAGAGAGATAGAGAGATAAAAAAAAAAAGGTAAAGAAAAGTAAAGAAAATGAGAAGACAAGAAGTTTAACAAGACATACACGCGATGTTCAATGACTATATTTGCTTAATGTGTATATTGGTGATTAAATTGATAAAATTAAAATTTGAAGGACCAAAATGTAATAAGCGATAAATCTCAAGGATTATTGATATAATTTATCTTGTGTTTTATAATATTTATATTTTTTTATTATATGATCGGTCCGACCAGTTAACTCAACGATTGAACCAATAAATCATTAATTTGGTATTTCTCCCGATTCGATAACCAGTCCAATTTCGATAACATTGGATAACACTATTTAGATTAAGGATACTCATGTGGAACACCATGGAAAGTGTAACTTATACTATAAATTTTGTATTATTTGTTGAAGTTATCAAGTTTCACTGATATAGCCAATATTATGATGGCAAGATTAAACAACTACGGCAACTTAATGATAGCTTTTGTTGCTTTGAACATTGCTACAAAAATCATAGCTTCACATTTTGTTTAAATGTTGCACTAAAATATTTGTCCGTAGTTAAATTTAGTCTAACGAGCGAGGTGGTAAGAAGCTTACCTCCTTTTTGGAAAAAACTAACTTTCAAACTCGAATTTGTATCATTTTCCTAATTGAATTGTGGATAAGGATGAGGTCTAGAGCAATCAGCTTGAATTGGAAAGAAGCAGTGCAAGATGGTTTGTAAATACTAATTTCACACACAAATGAGTATAGTATGGCCATATAGGCTTCCCTCAAGTTCAATGTCATAATGTTGCTTGCCTACTCCTTGACCTTGATGTTTTGGTTTTGGTTTAGCATTGGCCTTGTTTTAGACTCTTTAAGGTGAGTGTGGGCTAAGTTCACAGATTAATTGACCAATGTCTAAATCAGGGCCCAGCCCAGTTGACCTTTTTTGACAGGGGGTGACAGGGTTATTTGCTATGAAGCACAGATATTTTGATCGGACTGATGTCTTTGTATGACTGTATCTGATGTGTCGAATACCAATATTTGTCAAATACTTGCTGACATGTGTACCGAATAATTAATAAAATCTTTATTATTGTTGGATATTTGTCGGATACACTTCAGATATGTGTATCTCCACGGTGAATACAATTTGTCTTATAATTAGTATGGTGCGTTATTTCAAAATTGTGAATAAATGGGATTGCTCATTTGAAGATGTTCATTTGGATGTACATCACATATATCACAAGATTTGTCAATTCTTTATAATTTAGTTGACTTGAATAATAAGTTTTTATGACTTATGTTAAAGTCAATAAAACCTATTGCAATTAAATGTTAAGTAAAAATTGAGAACTCTTGAAAGGTGACATGTCTTCAATTTTACAATTACAAAAAATCTTGAATTTAAAGCATCAATAATCAGTCCTATGTTAGTAATGTGTCGTGTTCGTATTTGTATATGTATATGTATCCATATCTGTATCCATGCTTCCTAAGTTAGTGGTCATTATTGAAAAGGATATATGTGATTTAGTGATAAACGAGAGGGAGTCCAGATATAATTTATCCTAAAAAAGTACGAACTGTAAATAAAAATAAACTATGCTTTCTACTTGGATTGAATATCTTCCCTTGCACAAAAAAAAAAGGAAAAATTACAACCACATGTCTGCTAGTTTATTGTATTTTCAAAGATACCCCCTTTATTATAAAAATATCACTGACATTCCTTCTTGTTTATATTTAAACATCACTAACATCCCTCGCTATTAAACCAAAATTTATAAGAGCATTTACAACCATGACTCAAATTTAGACTCAAATTTGAGTAAAAAGCTTAATTTGGTATAGAGTATTTAAATGGGTAAATTCAAATATCTACTAAGATCTTTTAAAAAAAATTCTTATTGTCCCAAAACTCATTTTTTTGTGTCATTCAAATCATGATATTTAATAAAATAAATGAAACTTTCATATATATCCATAAATAGATAGTTCAAAAAAAAATATATGTATACAACACTACATGAGAATAAAAAAATTACCCCAGAATTCTAAGATTGTTCTAATCCTTTATACATTTTTAACAAAAATGGAAGACTGAAGAAATAAAATAATAAATTTTCTAAATTTGTGAAAAGCGAAGGCTTAGAATATCAGGAAGAATTGATAGTCTGAAATTGTACTACTGATAGTGTTTAAGTCAAAAAAATCAAAGAAAAAATTGATGGGATAGACTTAGGGTTTATATAGTATGAAAGGTGGGTGAAATTTGGAGTATTAAAAAATGCAAGAAATCAAGAAGATGAAAAATGAAAAAGAAAAATCTTATCTACAGGCCTTCAAATGATTTGTGGAAAACTTCGGTGGTGGCCGGCAATGAAAGTCACGTAATAGAGAGGGGTAAGGAAAGGCAAAAAATAAGTTGTCAAAAAAGTTTTTTAGTTTTAGATATGTTAAAAAGTTACCATTAAAAATTTGGTATAGAATTTGAGTCTTCTTTAATTTGGGTCCAAAATAATTTTTGTCTTGATTTGGTATAGGTTTGAATCCAAGCTTGGAGAAGTTTATTGAACTATTTTGACTCAAATTTAAATTTAAGTCTACATTTGAGTCAAGGTTAGAGTTGCTCTAAGAAAAATAAATTATCAAAATTTCCCCTACATAAACTTCAAACAATCTTTTTACATAAAATTCAATTAAAATTGGAGCCAATTAAACTTTATTTGTTTACATATTAAAATTTGACCTGATTAAAATTCTTTTTTCTACATATTAAAATTCGAGTCTATTAAAATTTGATTCGAGCTAATTAATTTTTTTTTACACATTAAAATTCGCCCCTATTAAAAGTATTCAAGCTAATTAATTTGATTCGAGCCGATTTGAGCTCTACTTGAGTTGTTAGTTTCGATTAAAATTTGTTTCGAGTCAATTAAAATTTAAATTTTTTTATTTATTAAAATTTGATTCAAGTTGATTATATAAATTTTAATCGACCCAAATTTTAATACATAAAAAAAAAATTTTAATTAGTTCGAATTGAATTTTAATCAGCCCGAATTTTAATAAGTAAAAAATTTTTAAAATAGAAGAAATCTCATTGAAGATATGTCTATCTAGAGGGACTGTGAACAGGGGTGGCTTAAGGTAATTTGAGGTCTTAAACAGTATCTCTAAATGAGATTTTTTATGTTTAGTATAAATTTAATTTTCTTACCTTTAAAATGAAAAATTACTAATTAAATTATATATTCAAGTTTTGTTTCCATTTTTTTTTTCAATTAATAGTATCGCTAATCCAACTAATTTCTCTCGCGACATAGTTGGTCCTTTTTTGTTGGGTGTGGGCCAACTTGACTTCTTAAGAGAGAGAGACACACACACACAGAGAAAGAGAGATTTGTAAGTAATGATTTGATTTTATAATTTTCTTTTTTCCATTAATTTTTTTAATTTTTAAATTTTTGGGTTTTTAATGTTTGGGTTGAATTATGGGTCTAAATGATTGAATTTAAATTATTTTTGATTGGGTATATGTTTTTATGATGCCTTTTTGTCAAGCTTAAAATATTTATGAATTTAATTTTTTTCAAATGAATTATTTAAGGTATCTAAAAATTTGGGGTCTTCCATAAAAATGGGACCTAAAACTCAAGCTTTTTTATTACTGTTGAGTACCCCCTGGGTGTGGATGAAATTTATTTTAAAATATATCATGAGAAATTTAATAAAATTACATTATAATTAACATTTTTATTCTTATAAGGGGGTGTCAATGAAGATTCAAAAAATAGAGGAAATA